AATCGTATCTTTAACTCCAAGCTAGCTTACTGACTAGCTTATTGGTCCCAAGCAAATCGATTCTAGTCATTCTACCCATTCTAGTCGAAATTATAGTACTACGCTATGTTTGTTTTGACTCGCTATGAAAGTTTGACAGATAAAATGAGGGGTTCGTGGATTCTCCTATTTTTCGAGGGGTGCATCGATTAGCTTGGGACCGAAGAGAGTACCAGAGCTGAGTTAAAAAGATGAGCATGTTTCTTTGGAACCTTCTGGTCTTAGAGTTACCTCTATGCTATGACTATTTAAATACTCCAACAGCTGGCCTTTAACAACAAGTTTTAAAATTTTCTCAATGTCTTCGGCTTTGATCGTTCCAGCAACTTTTTGAATAGGAACCACTAAGGATTCCTTCCAAATTTCAGGATAATGTCCTGTTGGCCTTTTTGTAATAATTGGTCGATATACGGCTAATAAAGGGCTTCCCAGCTCTATATTCACGGTTTCTCTAAAAGAAAATTATGATTATACATCATCAGTAACGCTGAAACATCCACCAAACGAAAGCTAAGAATCGCCCCTATCCAATAAAGGCATCAAAATGTTAAATCGGAGGGTATATTTTTTTTAGTGTAAATAATATCCAAAATAGTTATTTATGCAACAAGTTGCAAAAAGAAGACTTTTTCAACACGGGTCATAGTTTCTGAAAAAAAAAAATCGAATTTTGCAACGAGTTACCTACATACAGAGTTAATGTACACGTGCATCCATCCCGCGTGATAGAGACACGCTTTCTATCAGATCTTAGGTTCCTGGTACATTTCGAGACGAATTATTTCGCGTCTCTTTTTTGTTCCTACGTGCCTCATTCCTGTCACATGTGCTGTGTCTCATGAGCTAAGCTCGGCGAGCTCCAGGGAGATCGGCAGCGTACCTACGTCCTGCGTGCATGCTAAAAATGGCTGGTTGGTGATTAAGAAAACAACGGAGAACTGTTGATCGAGTAGTCCTGTCACATTCTCGTGTTGCTGGTACAGCTGATTGATTTCAATCAGTTGGTATTCAGTTTTTGAGCGTTGAGAAATTGCGGTTCTATAGAAGTATTTCAAGTAGAAGATTACGAACCAATTACCGGCGGGGTTATTTGGTACCGATCCATGCGCACGGAATTTCTATCGTTCAAAATATTGATTTTGCTTCACCAAGTTCAAACAATGTCAAATCAGCTCCTGATCATTCTCACAAAATTTGATCTCATTACGATGCGAACTCATTCTGCACTTGGCCCTTTGTAGTTTATGTGGAAAATTGAAAATTGAACTTTAGGATAATTAGCTATAATAGGACATAATGGGACTATTATGGGCTATTATGTCATAAGGGCAAGATGCAGTGTTGCCCTGAAAGCAGCCGATCAATCCTACCAGAATGTTATCAACTTGGAAATAATTAATAACAAATTTTCTTGACATTCAATTGAAAAGTGGTTTTCATCAAAGTTGTAGCTGGGAATATTTCACGTAAGGGAGGGGGGGGGGGGTGCTTCGATGGACAACTTTTCTTATAGTAATTGCCATATAAACTTCAAAGAGCCAGTGCAGAATGAGTTCGCCATCAAATTAGCACAATATTTTGGAGATTGATCAGCCTGATTTGGAACCGATTGAGCCTGGTGGATCAAATTGAAACCATTATATTATGAAAAGATACTTTGCAGCTGGCAGCGAACCAATAGTTCGGAGGGCCCTTTAAAACAATATCTTCGTTATTGAAATTTATTCGAGTGACTTCATCCTTCATTTGTAGAATTTTTGTCCATTACATATTTTGAAAATAACGTGTCAAAAGATGTTAGTCATGCAAAAAAATAAACAAAGAATATTCTAATTGACCGGCAAATGAATGGTTTTGGCTGTTTGAGGATTTCAAGAATAAAAGCACTGCAAACATATCAAGACCAACAATTGAAATGACCTCAACTCCATTTTGCAAAAAAAAACCTTGTAAGGCCATTTTCTCGAGAACCGAAACCTACATTCGCAATCCTAAACCACAATCGGGGTAGAGGAGAATTTTCCCTACCTGATCATTCTGTTGAAATGCCTTGGCGGACTTCGGTTCGCGAAAAAATGGCCTTACAAGGTTTGTTTACAAAATGGAGTTGAGGCCTTTTCAATTGTTGGTCTTGATATGCTACCTTTCCTCTAAAATAGGAATGGTTTGTGGTAACGGATATGAAATGTCGGTCAAAGCAATCAAGTTTCAATAGCCTGTATTTCGTTTACCTACACTTTCCAGAACTTAGAGCTCTGCTGTTCTAGCATTAATCGTAGCACATGAGATTGAGGCACATGAGATCAGCGCGAGTTTTTGGGTGTCGCATTTGTTTCTCGCTCGTATCTTATTCTCGCGTGTCTCTTTCTCTCTCGTCACATGTTGTTTTCGTTGCGACGGGAGACGGTTTGTTGAGAGTCTCGGCAGCACATTTTTGCACACACGAGGATAATGTAACTCTGCCTACATACAATTCGCCTTGACACCAGTCCCGAAGTGACGTTTCTTCACACACATTTTGACAGTTCCTTATGGGGTTTTGCGTTGGAGTGAGAGAATAAGAAAAAGTCCGCCATGTTTCACGCATAGACTGACAGTTACATGTGAGATTTCTCCAGAGGAGTAAAGAGTTACTGAGCTCTCGTAAAAGCCAATATTTTCAACACTCAAAAGAGTATCGCAAAGTAGAACTTTTCGGAACTGAATGCTGATAAGTAGTACTCTTCGATACTGTTATTTTAGTTATGAAAAGTAGGCCATTATGTTATTCAAAACTGTGTTTTTTTTTTATCTAGTTCGTTTATTTGGAAGGCTCAATCGCGTTAGCTTTACGGAGCCGATAATTCATTGTTCACTGTGTGAAACAAAATTCACTTAATTCTATGTCTAGTAGGAGTTAGGCCGATTACTCGCGGCTTACTCGAGGTTAGGGTTCAAAACTGTGTTGAAAAGTGACACTTTTCAGTAATGAGTGGTAAAAAACATTGTGACAGTTATACATATTCCATAACCTACTTGATCAAAATTTTTTATCAAACGCATGGATGTTCTCTTGAAGCTGCGTTATATACAGATAGAAATAATTGAAATACAAAGGGTATTTTTCAAAATTGCAAATAATGCTGTATGCAACTCGTTGCAAACATAATTTTTTCAGCACTCGCCTTAATTATTTAGTTTGGCAAGCATCGTTGTATAAACTACGACTCGTGCTGAAAAAAACTTATTTTTGCAACTTGTTGCATATATAGCTAATTTCGCCCTAAAAATGTATTGGAAAATAAACCCTGATACAATAGTTTTAAACTAGTCTCAAATGGTTGTTGGGTGGGTTTTATTATATATTATTCTACAAGAGTATATAAGCCAAATATTGCAAACGGTGAATCAGTATGGGCTTGTTAGTTATTTGGATTAGTTGCTGAGAATAGACCGCATGCTGCTGCCGTTGTTGTTGATTTACAGCCTGCCAAATATCACTCTTTCGACTGGCTTTTCGAGGGTCGGATTGAAAAGAAGCTTGATTCATGAACATTGGTCAACGGAGGGATACTGTAATTCAAACATTAAATACACGTATATTCAAAACTGGATGCTTTGTTAAGTAGGTATATTCTTGATACACCGACGGCAATCTGACCGCTCGTCATGCAAATTGAACCCCTTCAGAGATCATTCGCAAGAAGTAGGGTAGGATGGGGAAAAAAACGGCCCACGATGTGTTTCATAGCCATTGTCAATTCGTGAATTTAAAGAGTATCATTCCTAGTTAACAATACTTTAACCATTCTGGCACATAGCACCCTTGATTTAATAATGGGAATGCAACGAAAAACCGCGTGGGGCCATTTTACACCAGGGTGCATTATGGACTGTTCTCCCCTATCCTGGAATATCCGCTCAATGCTCTTGATTGACATGCCAATCAGATCGGGCATTTGCACAGATATGATAGAATAAAAGACGATTCACCATTAGCGGAGCAAGAATAAGCTGTCAAATTAGAAGCCACTGCCGACGACCATTATTGATTGAAAATTCAACGAAACGCAGTGGCGGCGATGACGACGGTTGCGGCCACCAATTATTGCAATCGAACTAAATTACACGATAATTAATTAATGCCTTCTCTCGAAATTGCCTTTCCGAGTGGATGGGTTTTAAACTAATTTCAATACACTCAGGCTGAGTGGCAGGAAAAAGAGGTCGGACGGTCAGTGAAAAAATAACCCGTCCGCATCGACGACGGCTTGTTCAACCATTGCTAATTCGTGTTCGTGTTTTAAAAGTGAGTGACACCCACATTGATTTATATTAATGGTAACACGCCGGACTGGGTGCGAGAGAAGCACAAAGAATAAGAAAGAACAGTCACAGGACGCACACTACTACTTTGCGTCACGATTACGAACTTAAAACAGAAACAGGGAAAATCAAGTTTAGTCAGAGAAGGGTGGCCGGCAGCCGCTGGCAGAACGACGGTGAAATGTGTTAATGGAGAAACAAGAAACGACGGCTCCGCAAGCAATAAATAATACATTTAACTCTAAATACTTTTACACTTAGCCTAACTATATGCGCTCAAAAGTCAATTAACTAACCTAACAAATTAGCCTTCCCGGTGAAGCGAGCAAACGCTCACATCTTGCCGTAGTTTGGTGTATTGGTGCCCGCTATCTTGACAGCGCCGACATTTTTGCTTTTATGAAGCCGCCGTCACAGTAACCGGGCCCGTCATTGGTGCAAAGCCACGGAAGCTCCTCCTCTTTTTCTCCGTCGCTTTTGCGCCCATCTTCCATCAAAGTGAACTAAACCAGTTGTCTGCTCTTTTCACTCACACATGCTTCAAACGAGGTTGGGTTGCTTTTTCACACTTACACAATCCAGCCAAAGCGAAAGCGGCAAACAGGCAAGAGAGTAGGAGAGTTTCGAGCCCGCTGTCAGTTTGTCAGTGCCCGCCGTCTTCGTGTGCCGTGTGCGTGTTTTTGAAGCAACCCGCTCGAAGCGTTGTTCAGTGTGTACACTTTTTGAACCCGGTTTTAACCTGCCAGCCCACCGATGGTTGAGAAAGGTGGCTCTCGTAGTTGTAGTCCCAGCGTACAGATCGACACTAGTGAGCGAGTGCGCGGGTGAAGAGGCGGCTGACTTGCCATTAGCGGCTTGATTGATTGATTGATTTGAGCATACAGACTGCCGCCGTCTGCTTTGTTTGCTGCGAAGCAGAGCAGAAAAGAGCGAAGGCAGCCCCGTCAGTTTCGAAATTTGCGTTTGTCGGTGCGTTTCGCGATTGCGTTTGGCTGTTGTTCGTTTTTCGACAAGTGCAGATGCTCAGATATTTCTTTTGAAAATGATGGAACAAACTTGGCTACGGCAAAGGATTATTAGCAGTGTTATGGCGTATTGTTGAATGACACGTGAAGAAAACGGTTGAAAAGTTTGTTTCCACTTTGATAAGTGACAACGCGGTACCAGAGCGTACTTAACGACAGTGAAAAACAAGAAAGCGTGTCCCAACGCTGAATCTGTGATTTAGTTGCAAGATATAAAATAGTGGTAAAATGTTGTGCAGAAGTCCTCCGCCAGCGAGTCCAGTTGGGTCGGAGATCTCCGTCGGATCGCCCAGTCCACCACCGGTAGACCACCATCACCATCATTTGCAGTCTCATCACAATCGAGGTGATGACTATTTTAGTCCATTGAAGCGACTTCGGATGGTTGAGCATCACAGTACAAGCCCGAAGGAACCTAGTCCAAAGCCAGAACCTCCTAGCCCTCCACCAACAGCTGCCGCGTCCGCTTCGAGCGTAAAATCGTTCTCCATAGCGGACATTCTTGGCCGGGACACGGAAAACAGCAATCGTGATAGTGCACTTGCCCTGCATCACCACCACAGTACGCTTCAAGCTGCCGCTACGAAAATTGTGCGACCATGGGATCACCTCCGAGGTCCAATTCCTGTCCGACCGTTCCTCCCGCCTGCACTGTTACACTACGAACACCGGTTGGCGCTAGATTACCACCAGCAGTTGCAGGAGCATTTTCGAGCGCAGGCTCAGCTGCTACGACACATGAGTATGGACATTATTCCCTCGGAAAGTGGCTCGGAGCGGTCAAGTTCGGCGGCTAGTGGTGATTGCTGTTCGCCGGAGATTGGACGAAGTTCTGAGCATCAGTCCTCGCAATCGTCATCTTCGGGATCGAACAACAATAATGGTGGAGGTGGAAACGGTGGTGGAAGTGGGAAAACATCCGGCCAGAAGACTACCCCGAACGGAACTCCCCTGGATGCGCTATTCCAGATGACCAATAAAAACTTTGACGAAGGCAATGAAGATGGGGGTAAGTTGAAGACAATTATTTAAAGAGCGTATTGATTGGATTTAGAGATTGATGCTGAACAACTTACCGTAACGATACAACAAAATTACAAGTTGAACTTTCGTGGAGTCCTGTACTAATTTACAGTGCAGAGCATAAGCATAATACAATTCAATGTTCTTTGAGTGACTAAGCGTCTCCACCTGACGAAGGCTTATTTGTTTCTTGGTTGGTCCCAGCTTAGGATTGGGCGATCTTCAAAGCAAGATCGATCTCGACGGATTTTATATTCGGCACTAGGATCGACGCTCCGATGAAATTGATACCAAGAATCGATCTTTTCTTCATGGTGTTTACATAAATTTTGTAATTAATGAATAAATTATGAATACGTATTACATGATAGATTTGTTTGTTTTTAAAATGAAATCAATGAACAGCACACCATCCGCTCGCCAGCCAAAACAGATCCTGTGATAATCCTGACAACCACATCTAACCGATGAAAAATGTCAACTTTTGATGAAAATGATCAATTTTTGGAAGTACACACTAATCAAGGCCTCTGCCGATCGGTAAATTTTGAACTACGGAACGGTTCGGTAAAAGTTTGAAAATGTTTTAAAAATCCTATAATTAGTAAATGTGTTCCAAACTTGTACAGACTTTGTTCCCCATTTAGCTATGAAAAATAAAATCTGTCAATTTTATTGACTTATCACGTTTAACGGTCATTTGAAAATTTTACCGACTTGATCTGCTGTTCAAAAACCCGGTAAAACTCTACTTACTTCGGTGATCTGAATTAAGTGTGTAGGTAGTCAAAATGTGTAGTGAAACTTAATAAATTATCAAAACAGTCCCTTTTAGCTGAGTTGTTGAACGTTTAGTACACCTCTCAATTAACTCTCTCAGTGAACAAGCAAAATAATTTACATTCTAAAGAATAATATAACAAACTAAAACATAGAATCAACAAGGAAATGAACGTCCCACTAGATAACTATCAATTCGATTCAATTGTTTATTCAAATATCATATCAGGCCCGGTAACGTCAAACTTACTTCTTGGGGCCTCCAAAGCCAAATCGGTAAAGGAGGCGGCGGGTGGTCTAATCGAGTTAGTCTTTCTCCATCAACTTTTCGAAGCATAGAATATCATTGCGCTGCCACACAATATACAAATTCATGTATTGATTTATATAGAACGCTGTGAAATAATAACTGTGAAAGTGCATCAAGAGTACTAAATTGAGTGCAGGCAAAACGCTCGCATAAGAAGCGTAAACAGCCTGGAAGAAGCCGAACGTCTAAGAGATGGCATATTTAATTTACGTTGTTAGACCTGTTATTTTGAACATAGTTAAAGATGCTAATTTCAAATTTCAGACTGTAGTGGTAATTTTTATACGATAGATGGAGTAGATGAAAGCATAGAGTTGATAGTTCCGTTAGAGTACGGCAGTGTGAAGATTGCATATAGGTGGAGGGCTTTTGAACATGTTTAACCTTCACTATCAGAGCTTTTAATTTGGTTGAGAAACTTTTTAAATAGGACTAAATTTAAATTTCAGCAATGTTAGGCTATTTTGGAGTTTCTATGATGTTTGCATGTGATTTTAACACTCTAAAGAAATTTCGGAGTTCAAGGTAATTAAGCGGTTTTAATGCAATTGGGTGTTTTCAAAGTCAGTCTGGCGATACTTAGGCAAATTTTTGGTGATGGTAGGGTAATTTTCATGTTTGAGGCCATATCAAACTGTTGAAGAATACTTTGATGGCTTTCAAGGCTGTTTTGGAATCTTCAAGCTGAATGAAGTAATACAATTGGGTTGTTAGCGGAAAGCTTAAATAAAAACAGCAAATAAGGTAATCTTCCATTTAATTCCACTTAATTAATGTTGATATCTATGACAGATACGTATTTCGACTACACTGTGCAGTCTTCGTCAGTGTCAATCCCACAAAAGACTTATCGAAATCTGACCCCTTAAGTACTCATCAGATTTTGCCTCTCAGAATTCCAGGGGTAACGAACCAAGTTTGTGCGGTAGTTCGGTTATTTTGAATCACGCCTGTTTTTTTCTGAATGGCGTATTCAATATTATTCAATAAATCATAGCATGAAAACGGCTCATCTATTCGAAGTGACGTCTGACACAAAGTTGTAGAAAATTGGATTCCCTGTTCAGAAAATATTTTAAAACTTACAACAAATTCTAACTGTTAGAAATGGCTGCAACGGACTGTTGAAACCAAATTTGAAATTTTAACTAAAAGTTTATGATTTACGATCTCGGTCTGTTTTCAACCGTATGTTGTATCCATTTCAATGGTTTATTTGTAGGCTCAAACATCCAAACTGACTCCACGAATTTAATAATTACATTTAAATATTAAGAGGTCAGTGTTCACTCGGCTGTCGACAGAAGCAGGCCACTCTTGATGTGTGTCACGCGATCGTCTGTTTACTCGGCAGCAGCCATTGTGTGGTCCTCCTCATTGTTCTTCATCAGCAGTTATTTCGGTCCATGCGTCGTCGACTTTGGAAAGCAACCGTTTCGTGATGAGTGTGTGAGTGCTGACCACGTTTTGCGTCCATTGATGTTGGCGATACTGCCATACAATGAAATCACTGGAAGTGGCTTCCGTTCTGATGGAGCAGGCTTATTGGATAGCGGAAGATAAAGTGTTTATTGTGTTGTACCTTTTGACTATAGTTTTAAGATGTATTTTATAGTGAACAATCGGCTCTGTAAAGTTAATTCGATTGAGCCTTATCAAATAATATAGTCCACTATCCCGAATTCGTAGTAGTAATACGCATCATTTTTTAACTTGAAAACAGCCGTCTGCTGTTTCTCAGCAACGCTTGCTTCCTCTACTCTGTTCTTCTCGGCATCCGGGGACGTCACATCCATCACCGCAACGTCTTCTTCCAGGTCCTCAACCAATTCCTCGTTTGGCGATGCACCTCCAGTCACTACACTAGTGTATGTACTGATCTCTTCCTTCATTCCGTTGTTGGTTTTCTTCTTCCGTTCGTTGTTGTATTGGCTGCTTCCGAGTCTTCCGCTTGGGGCTGGAATTCATCCGTCTTACAAAGGAAACACAAATTTGGGTTAACTTGATAAAGTATGTTCCACTTTCGATTGAAGAAATGCAGCGAGTTGGGAATCTACTTTTTACATCCATATATACACCTCGCACACCTGTTTGCATATCGAGGCCCAAGGTGGCTGGAAATTTCTCCCGAAATACACGCTTTACATCACCGTATTTCCCTAGCACCAATTCTAGATAGCTATCCGAGACTCCTGGTGGGAGCTTGTACACTCTCACGTATTGAACTGTGCTTCCAATAGGTAAAATGCTTATCTCAACGAAATTAATTATTCACGGTTGTGTAGCAAACAATAAAGCATCGAATCCTCTAATTTAAACTTGATGAACATAGATTTTTTCTCTACCATGTGATATTTAGCGATCATCTTAGTGGGACCGCGTCCAGCGATTTCACTAATTTTGCAATTTCTTCCATTGATGGTTTCGCCGAGCCATGGGGGAAGCTGAACCTTATCGTCAGTTTTATTTCCACCGACATCTTGACTAGTTGTTTACTTCCAACGAGGTCACGGCTAAAGCGAACAAACTTCAAACAATAAGCAAGCACCGCAACAATGAGTTGCTATCGAAAAACAGACTATCACGAAACACTCACAGCTGCTTGTGTCGACAGCTACAAGGGAACTGAAGTTTGCATTTGTGATAAGCTTTCAAATGAACAGAAGTTATGTATTCTTTAAAATATACTTTTCTTGTTAATGAAATTTTAAACAGATTTTTTTTTTCAGGTTTTGTTGAAGATCTGAGACTTTTGTTCAGTATGTATTTTTTTATGAAAAGGTAATCCAGTTTCTTACTACTTTGTCTCAAACGTCATTTCGATCAGATCAGCCATTAGGTGTAAATCAAAATGGCCGAATTACAGCACATATATACTCATCCCAAGTAACAATTTTGATTTTACCATAGCCGTGTAGGCTATATTTGGTCTTAAAGAATCCTTTTTTTTTATCTAGTTCGGTTATTTGTAAGGCTCAATCGTGTTAGCTTTACGGAGCCGATAGTTCATTGTTCATTGGTTGTAGCAAAATAAACTTATTTTTATGTCTAGTAGGAGCTGGGCCGAATACTCGCGGCTTACCCGAGGTCTGAGGGATACATTGTCGAAGGATAGGATCAGGGGAGAAACTTGGGGTGGGGTTTCGTTGTCTCGTCAGTAACTCTAAGACTAGAAGGTCCAAAAGAAATGTGCTCAACTTTTTGGCTCAGCTCTGGTACTATCTTCGGTCCCAAGCTAATCGATTCACCCTTCGAAACATCGGAAAATCCACGAGCCCCTCATTTTATCTGTCAAACTTTCATAGCGAATCAAAACAAACATAGTGTAGTACTGGAATTTCGACTAGAATGGGGTACGTTAATTGATTTGGTTGGGAACAATAGGCTAGTCAAGTAGTGAGTCAATTTAAAATCTTTAGTTTCGAATTGATTGTTGGTAGTGCGGTTCTAGCTTTTATATTCTCTTGTTTATACATCTGCTTACAACTTTCATATTATGTATTTCACTGTGGTAAAGTACCAAAAATCCTCAAAATTACACAAACTCTAGTCTTTTCTTTCTTTTGATGATTTGGATGATTTGGATAATCCAACAATATTATTTTAGGACACAATTCATAACTTTATATGATGTAATGAGTCTCCGCGAAGCACAAAATGCTCAAAAATTCTGAGTAGAATTCGAACATGATTTCGATTAACCTGTGAAATATCTCCAGGCAAATTTGGAGAATGATGTATTGGTTAGATATTTTTGTATTCCACAAAATGTTGTTTGGCATATAGAACTTCAAGATCTGAACTCCAAGAAGATTTGAAGAACTTTTAATACTGCGCTTATCCTGCTGATGCATTGATACATGCTTTTTCCGACATACCAAAGCAACATTTAGCAG